TATTATTTTAACCATCCACAGAATAATGTTGGTGACATTTGAGGTACTCACGGCGAGGAGTATGAAGATCTATCTGTCATCTGGGAGGCAGCACCGACGTTTTTGAGGAGCTGTCTCCATCATCAGGATGATGGAGGCAGTAAGATCCTCTAAACTGTAGATACGTACCAGATTACACGGTGCAACATCCCAGAAGACAGCCACATTAAAAAATAAACTAATCACTTGCGTGAATTTTCAGATACAGGGAACGTCACGCCCATGAAGCTCATATTCCATACTGGGGAGACAACGACACACAGCAGCCACACCCAGATTCTTGAGAAATTGTACAGGTTTCATTTGTCCATTACCGATTTAAAAATAAGGATATGTGGGAAATGTCAAAGAAACTTGTTCCTACGTTGTGTTAAATTGTTCTTTTATAAACACAGCGTTTCACCTAAACGATGGTTAAGTCAAGAAAAGCAATTTAACAGGATCTGTCATGCCGTCCTCAGAAACCTTCAAATTTCGATGTTCCTACTTGTTTTAAGGGCCTGCCAATACAAAGTATGAGACGTAAAAACGCGAACTTCTGCACAAATCTGTAAGTTGTATACACTGAAATTATTTACTTATTTCAAGTCTTGTGGACTTCACAGAACTGTTAGTAGTTTTTACCTGGTTCCCTGCTCTTACGGAATCAGAAATTAATTACAATGTTCACAAAAACCTGCCAGCGGGCCCTAACCGAAGCAAGATCAGTGTAGTCTTTATATTCACTACATTATAATATCATCCTCCAAACCGCACCTAGGTCTCAGAAGATTTATCTTCCTTCGAGGTTCTTTATCCAAAAGGCGTGCAAGATTTTTCAAAAAGAAACTAAACCTGTGGTTTGCTTTACGTTACTTTAAACTGGTTTCGTATGAGACAGTTCCATTACCTAACTCAGATGTTTCAGGTGTGTGATCTACGTGTCATACGTACTGGTCGGTCCGCAAGCAGTGGAAGTGACCTTTGTACACTGACATATGTTTGTTTGTGATTTTCCATGTTGTCTTATGAGATAAAATGACTTACATCAGAAAACTAGAACCTAAAAGAAAATAAAGTAAAAGTAAGGCGAAAATGTTTAATAATACGAGGCTTCATGTTACACGTTTGTATTCGGGAATCTTGAAGGAAGAGGTCACTTGGGAGACCAAAGACTAGATGAGAGAATAATATAAAAAAGAATCTTAAAAGATATAGGGCGTGAATTCGATTCATCTGGATCAAAGTTCAGCGGTCGACTCTTGTGAACACGATTTAATGAACAAATGGATCTAATAAAAAGAGTAAAATTTCTCGTCTAATCGGAATACTCGTCACTTGCGCTCTGCTGTGTGTTGGTCAATTTAATACTAGGTTATAGCCGAAACTGAACTTGAAAAACTGTCTTTATGAACGCATGCCGTGTATGTTTTACAATGCTGTAACAAATGCTAAAACCAGAAGCATAACTCAGGGGAGATGAGGAATGAAGTGGCAGTGGCAGATTTTAATTTGTTGTCCCAACATTTTCCAAAAAGGACAGGAGACCTTAGTTTGGCTAGTGAGCTTCGAACAGGCGATTGTTTGGTCCGATGTTACGCGGTTAGACTTCCCTCAGTACCTGACGACAATAGCGGCCAGCCGTCCTTGACCGCTCTCACTCCCACCAATCCGGTTAAGTACAAAATGGCTGGAAAACGGGATTATTACTGGAGAAGAGATTGTAGCTCTTAAGTTGTTGTTTAGCCTTACACTTACTTAAGAACAAAGTGGAAAATGAAAGCACGGAACACCTATGAAGTCTAATGAGAAACGACAGGATGATAAACTGAAAGGTGAATGAAAATAATTTGTAAGGATGCGTTCATAATCTTCATCGTATTGTGACCAGGCCATTATGCAACTAGTTTCATGGAAGAGTCCTTGCTGAGAAGCGGATCTCAGATGGTTAAGAAATTCCTTGCCTTTTATGGAAGCAAAAGTTTCATTACCGTGTTACAAGAGCATGCCACTGGACCCTGCCCTTAGCTAAGTGAATCCAGTCTACATCCTTGCATCTTATTTAAACAGCATCTATATATTCCGCCTTCTACGCCTACGTCTCTCAAATGTTGTCTTCCCTGCTGGTATTTCAACTAAAGCTATGCTGATAGGGTTCTGAAATTAGAAGCAGTAGAAAATACGGATACTTAGAACCTTGGGGTTCGAAAAGAGCTGAAAATGTCTTCAATCTACCGGCTGAGAAATACTAGGCCTATGTCAGTATTTCAGAGTTGACCGTACACACGGATTAAGTTGGTAGGCTACTAAATTTCCCTCGACTAAGTTTCTAAACATGAAAAAGACAACTAAGCTAGAACATAGTACTACGACTCATGGGGAGACGCGGCGCGAGAGGCCTACGGACCACATCCGACCTTCTGGCCTCGAGTTTATTTCCCACCTCGTGCCCGAATATTGCCGGCCAATTGAAGGAAACAACTTCTCTACTTTCATGGGCTACTTGTAATTTACCACGCCAACATTCACAACACAAGAATACACAATTTATTCGTCGTAAGTTCTGAACTTTATACGTCCTACTGACAGAACAATTTCACCTTCCACCTCTCGGGTACGATGCGTTGCTTGAAATTGTTGTGCATGAAAGTGTCTAAATTTTATAGCTCTCTCTGGCGCTCAATTAAGGTTGAATTCTTTTCACTCTTCTTCATACAAATTATATGAATAACAAATGTAAACTTCTCAACACAATAACTTCGGAAAAAATAGAGCAACTGAAATTAGTCCTCCGCTGGATATTAAACTTGGACCGTACTTTCTCTCCTGTCCTCAGAGAGGCAGAGCGAGAGAGACGAGAAAAGACAATAAAAGATAGGAAGAAGCAAATTGAGAATAACGGACAAGAGAAATACATATGCCAAGTTAACATACAGGAAACAAAGACTAGCTGTCAATTCCATGTACTTGAGGGAAACTCCTACATGGTTTTTCGAACATCAAGTGGCTTCAGTTGGCAACGCACGGTTTGTGAAGGGACATCACAATTTCAACGTTCCTTTCATTATAATAATGAAATGTAAATTGTAAATCGGAAACTGTCGATAAAACAGCATAAATTCACAGAGCCTTGATGTTGTATTACAAACTGATTTATACACGCAATGTCTTGTATGCGACACGTGTTGAAGGTCTCTTAATCCGTAAATTTGACAGAAATAATCTTAATTTTTTTTTAGTTTCCCCTATGCACCATTTATTGTTCATATCTTCTCCAAGCAGTAAATAAATAAATAAATCAATATGTAATGAACAGAACTCGAGTTATTCCTGAGGCAGAGAACTGGACTCGTACGCATGTGGTCAAGAGATCGAACCGTGGTCAATTTTTGTATGCATTATACAAAGAATCTCTTCAAACGCTCTGTACTTTTCGGAAATTATCAACGTTCGTTGTATAACCCCAATGTAGGTTTCGCTAGTACTGATCCCACCTCATTTTGTTCGGCCGCCATGTTGGGATTACCGACTGTAGAAAATTAAAAGGTATGTTTTTAGGGTAGACCTCAATGGCATAACGTCCATGCCAAATTTAACCAAATCCGTCAAGCGGTTCTCGAGTTGAATAGGGGAAGACGTGGCCAGCCTCATACGCGTTCAACTCGTGTACGACCTAAGAACGCATGGCAATAACAATGTGACGGCCACTACAAAGTAGCTGAAGCCCGGTACCAACTTTATCAAACGTGCTGCATGTCGACGAAGCCCCCCCTCATTGATTTGATCACACATAATATTTGGTAAAGAGTACACAAATTATGAAGCTACTCATTAAATGTCCGCGTTACTTCTTTCTCCTTGCTTTAAATATTATCCTTAGGAACCTGTATAATTTTACTTACTTGTTTCTTTTCCTATTTAAATAAAATTATACTCTGTATACCGGTATTTTAATCTACAGGCTTTTAGTAAGGAGACAAAGACTAATTCTGAAACGAATGCAACAACCATTGCCCGAACTCAGTTTACTTTGCTTCTTTCGTAAACGTAATTTTGATTTGTTACTGCAGTTTAAAACTTTCAGAAGAAACTTCTTAGATTTATTTCATAACAGAGTACGCTCCTATTAACTGGCGGGCCAAGTGGTTAATTATGGCATATGTAATAAACACATCAAAAATACTGGCAGCCCTACGATAATGCATCATTAACTGAAGAAGTGTTTGTCTGAATACACCAAAGAAATATGTAGTCTTAAAATATCTTGCTTTAAAGATCAAGAGAATTCCTCATTGTATTCACAAAATTCCGAGAGCTACATATGAAAGAAGACGTAACAGTTCCTCCAATTCACATTTAGTACTACATTCTGCAAACAAGAGGTTCAATTTAATACGATAATACAAATTACAGCAGACGGTAATTCTTTGATAACACCACAGTCTCGAATTCTGCTGATTTCGCGAACAGTAATTAATTGTGTTCATATATTAGACTACATATTACATTAACAAATGTCCTACAGGCCTACATTTTCAATCATTGTAGTAAAGCAGATGGTTATACAACTCTTAGTGTAAACACTTTCAACTTTTACTACATTGTCTGTAATTTGTAACCTCTGACTAGCACATGTAAGGTCGTGACTTCGACGCCCAACATGAATCATAAGACATTACAATGGTACCGTACGTTATACTCTTATGGTTTCAGAGACAGCCTGGGAGAAGGAAAATGCAAGATCTCCCACTGTCGTTATTCTCAAATATTACTAAGCTCGGGCAGACTTTTCGTGTTACGGCAACCAAAACAGAAATATCACTTTTCTACAAACATAATCTGAAATTATTGCTACAAACACCACAGAAGCCGAGTCCATCGTCCACCATGCTGTACTAATGCACAGTTTACATGCTGGTAAAAAAGAAAGAAAGAAAGTCTAGCGCTGGTTTCCCCACGCTGACTAATTTGTGTGTACTTACTCTTGGAGGGCGCTGTCCTCGAGACCCTTCTCAGCATAAAAACCCAAGGGATGGCGTTGTTGACCTTCGAGGGAATTTGAAAAGCAGTGGTCCAACTATTTTCTTGCAGTGGAGTTTTGCTTCTCTCTCTCCCTTACCCCCCAAACAAAGCTTCGTCTGGTGCTATATTCTTCTAGTTATGGCCAATAAAGACTACTTTTACCGATTTTAGAAAAAAAGAAAAGAAAGAAAAGTGAACAATGCGAGTTCTTTTGGGGCGAAAATGCCCCCTGCTGAAGAAAGTCCTGGTTTGTTGTGTTGGGTGGGGGAGTTCTAAGGAGTACTTTTTCTTGTTTGAAAAGAAGAATAGGCAAGTTCTAGCAAGAAGTTTGTTGTTCGCCTTGGAGCTGACCAGTGGGATGGACGCTCGCTAACGACCTAACGCAGGTTCAGAACTGGTTTTATTTTATACGTCAATGATAGGAAAGCCATTAAATGATGCACTCAATCATCAAAGTCATCGTCAGCATCCTCTTGGTTGCCTTCTGATTAATGTTCACAGAAAGAAACTCTTCCTCCACCATCTTTAACAGTCACAATTAATTTTAACGGAGATATTTCACAATCACCAGCGGCTGTCAAACCGTTCGACTGATGTCCTCACATTATGATCTTGAACCGTTTCTGATCCGTCTCTTTGTTGTTTCTCAAACACACAGACACACAATTAAAACGCCTTTACTCTGAGGATGTAAACTGCTTCAGTGGCACACACGCAACTACTGTCAAGTCCCGGGAAGCAAAACGTCAGTATAATGCTGTCTTGTAATAACGCGGTTTGGTGCAACGTACGAAGGAGAATATCACAAACGAAGAAAATTAGTCCGCTTTTCTGTGAGATAACTACGATATCACTCTCACTCCAACCTCCTAAATCTGTCAACTTGACGCCAGTTCCTCGTTCTACGTGTCTATACGTAGCAAACGTGGTCTTTTTGAAGACGTTCGCTGGCCAGGTGCAACAACAACAGAGGCAGCCTCCACCACCTCAGTGCGTCTGAATTCAACTGATCGCCGGGTGCGAACCAGACGCCTGGCTCATGAGTTGCAAGCGCGGGCAGCTTGAGGAGTGAGGAGGGGAGAGGAAAGCAGTAGGACACTAGCGCCACGAGAATGACGTGCAGTGGCGGAAACACGAACTTAATCGGGAGAGCGGGGGGCTCAAATCGACTTGACAGGCGATGGCCGCGAAAACGCGGGAAAACGTGTGAGCTGTTTTGGCAACGCTGCTTGGTGGGAGCTGGGCGGAACCCGACAAAACGCGTTTGCGCCAGACTTGAGCCAGGACGTTTTCCAATTCGAAGAGAAGAACTTCGGGAGGTTGGGCTTATCTGTACACGAAGAGGACAGGTGACAAATCACTGCGATTTGATTGGTTCGGTCGGACAGTGACGTCCCCCCCCACACGGAATCCTCCTCTTACACCCACCGACCCAACCACTTCCGGTGTGCGTCACAACACGCTCGCGGAATGACACTAGGCTCACCTGTTCCTCGTCTCGTGTAGCCCTCGATCGCCATTCCGTCCCATTAGCTCCTACATCTCTCATTTGCGCCGCTCTTCTGGACACCGTCCTGTGGTGTTACACACATCTCGACTTCCACATAAACTCAAAGCTCGCGAATCTTTCGTGATCAGCCCCCAGAAACTTTCTTCATGAAACTACGTATAAAAGATGGCTAATTGCTGGTTACACTTCACAGACCCTATAAAGGAAATGTTGGTTGGTCCTAACCGAAATTTAAAATTCGTTGTTGTTTGATTTCAACAGAGCATCAAAATTAAACATCTCGTGCTCTTAAAAACGTTAACATTTATGGCTGGACGTTCTAACGAGTCTTTAAACTAATAAGTTGGTCGCTTTTCACAGGACTTTAAAATTAAATGTCCCCTGCTCTAAACGGAACTTCCTTTCGTTGTTTTAACAGAACTTATAAAATAATTGATAGTTGGGCTTAGCTTAACTTTAAGACTAACATTTGGTTGCTTTTAAAAGGATTATATTAATTGTCCATTGTTCATCTGAGAACTCACGAAGAATTTATTTCTTACAAGTGGCAGTAATTAGACCGTAGCATAGCTTCCTACTTCCATGCATATTAACTGAGAACAAATCCCAATAGAAATGTAAAAACTAGCAGTTGGTTAATAATATTTATTTATTACTAATCAACATAAATCAGTTGTTTAATAGGGAATACTTTTATCGTTAATCAACAAATATTCACTTCGTCAATAAAGTGTTAGGTTAATAGAACAGATGCCAAGGAACGGTTATTTGAGATCTGAGGCTATTAAATTTGTCAGAACTCATTCAACCAAAACATGTACAGCAGATACGTACCTTCTCCGTCTAGTTACTCCGTCTACTGAAACGAAATTAGAGAGCAGCTTCGAAATTAATTAAATCTGTGTTGTGTGATTTGATTACTATCAAACTCAACCCTGTTCTTTCTGTTCTCACACCAGGGACAGTCGACGACACCTGAAAAGGCCTTCATTATGAGATTTTGTTTCCTCGGTAGTGAAACTTCAGGCCGTAATCTTCTGGCTTGTAACACTGTATAGCTACGCAGATGGTTACGAAAGTTTCAGAGGAACTTGCTTCAACCTTCAGGGTGACAAACCCAGATGAAGATAGTCTGCACCAAGTACATTGAATCCTGGCGTTTCTGACAATTGAAGCACAATGAATTGGCACTTGAGACAAAAAATTAGAATTTTAGGCCTAATAATTTTGCAATAGGCCTACAGTAAGTTTATTGACTATTTTAACATACTTTCCTCGTAGCAGTGACTAGATCAGACTGCTTACATTTAGTAAATGAAATTTGCTCATAAAAACAGTGCATCCCGAAGAAAGTTGATTAAAAACGAAAATGAATGCCAATTGACTTTAGAAAATTTAGAATATTTGTTTAATTGATAATCTTATTATATTCTAGATCGCCTAGGGCCTTTGAAGCACCAGTAAACTTCTACCAGAGTAAACGGTGCAACAACCCAGAAGATAGCCATCTTCATAAATAATAGGCCTTAGATGAAACTTTGTTGATCCGAGCCTCTTTACACTGTTGGTCCGGTTCGTCTTAACGCCGACCGGGGCGTGAAGCTGGCCACTCACCCCTATACAGAGCCGAAGTTAAGAACGAGTAGGAGCTTTACCTCCCCCCCCCCCAAGCGCCTACATTGCGTATAGTGGGACAGCTTTACTTTTACTGTATTTTATTCTTAATTTTTACCTTTTGCTTGTTTAATGGAAATTACCTGGGAGAATTTCTAGACGACTTCACTAAATGCTGAAATTTGTACCAGATTACTGGATACTCTGACCCAGATCTTTCGTGATTTCCTTCAGAATATCCAAACAAAAGCCCGGAAAGTCCGTCTCACTTCGGATAGGCTTAGGCAACCCCCTTTCATGTCCCTGTCTAACCCCGTTGAGCAGTGTCCTTCTTGAGAAGCCAACAAGAACTCAGTTAGTCAAGAAATTCTATGGAATCAGAAGGTCCATATTATGCTCACAAAACCTTGCCACTGGTCCGTAAGCCAGATGAAACCAGCTAACAGCCTCAGGCCCTGCTTCTTTACGGAGCAATTTTAGGTGTTATCTACGCTCTACCGCGAGCAAGAACACCTTGTGGGCTCGTCCATGTCTGTCGCGATTTTCGCAGCAATGGGACTGGAGGTCCTATTCTTGGAAACCAACGCTGCGCAACAATGGGATCCACGGTTTCCTATTTTTTCGCAACAAAAATTTGTGTTCGCATTAGTGAAATAATGACCTAAAGACGCGATAATGAATACGGATTACATTATTGCAACAACGACCTACGTAATGTAGAGTAAAGAACGTCTTTAGAACGTCACTGTACTCCATAGAGTACATTTTTCGAGTCCTATAATATCAGCCTCTCGTCTTTGCCTATTCTTCCAATTGGTCTTTTTCCTTCAAAATTTCTCATGACCTCCGTTCATGTTCATTTTATTATCTGATTTGCTTATATTACTTCTTACTATTACTTATTTGTGTTTCTGTCAGCGTCGTTAAATAATCCTCAGACCTCAGAGTTGATACATCGTCCAAAAGGGGCCGAACACCCCACCCACGCATTACCTGGCGCACACTCTGCTGAAACATTTTATACAAACAGGCCCTATCGAGCACAAAAAAGCAACATTTTCCCGCTCCATCTGACTGTAGCGTGTTGGATGCTAGCCCATAATTAAGATCATATCACTCAGAATGGAACACGGAGAGGATAAAAATACGCAGGGTTCCAGTCGGTACAGATTGCTTTCCCACAGTTTACTCACTGAAGTGTTGGAACCGCCAAGAGCTTCATCAAAATAACTGGAGCAAAAATTATTTACGTAGATTAAAATTCTAGTGGATGCTAATCATATTATTGTTGGTCTGCAGCACAAATTAATTTTATTACATCAAGATTACTTAATCTGAAACGAAACGGGTCCGTTTATACACTTTAATACAATTCTCTAAATGTTAAATGTTTGTGTCCTGTGATAAATTAGTCTTTTCGCATAGAACATAGAAGCAGGCCGCCTATATTAACTCTTGCGTGTAACAGTCCTAAGTTATTATGACTTTCTTGCCTGAAATAAAATGTACAAGAATGTGATTTCCATTGCAGGTAAGAAACCTTACTTACTCTTGCAACAATAATTACAGGAGCAACTGGAACTGTCTCCAAGACACTCAGAAAATATTTGGCCAACATCCCGGAGGAACAGAACATCAGGGAACTTCAAAAAACTGTCATTTTAGGATCTTCATACATCATTCGAAAGACGCTGTCGTAAAGAAACAAAATATATTTCGGAAATAGCTGCTGCACTATGTACCTCAAAGGCAAGGTTTGTCTCGGGTACATAGAAGTAAATACCCTACAAAGTGGTGAATATATACGGAATAATAATAATAATAATATAGATCTTAAATTAATAGTCTGTGAGGGTTTGGATTGTATTCAACCGCCTCAGGGTATGGTCCAGTGGGTATCAGTTGCAAACACAATAATGAACTTCCTGGTTACATAAAAGATGAGATTTTTTTTAAACAATTGAGCAACTATCAGATTCTCACGCAGTCTGTTTTGTGGAATTATGTCTACGATGTGAAACAGATTGGATCACTATATACCGGATACTGGGATCGACCCGTTCTTCAAGTTCCTGAGCACTGCGGGTCTCAACTTTTCGTTGTCTTTGATCTATAGAAGTTAGTAGGACTCCTTGGACGAGGGATCGGCCCGTCGCAAGGCCTCTACCTGTACACAGGACAGCACAACACAGAAAAACGCGGACAAACATCCATGGTTTGAGTGGGATTCGAACCCACGGTCCCAGCTACCAAGCGGCACAAGGCCCACGTCTCAAACCGTGTGGCCACTGCGGACCCCTTGGATCACTATATAGGACCAGTATCTCGTGTAGACCTACGACCATGAAAGTTGGGAGTAAAATTTATACAGTTTTGTCTTTATTCAGCTTTCTTCTAGAACAGTCTGTCACAGGTCTCCCAATATTTGGAGCACGCAAGGAGTTAAAAATCTCCATTCATTACCTAAGCTTCAAGCGTTACAGGATAAATCAATCGGTTTGCTAAGATTTAACTTACATCATGGATTAAGTTCTCCGAATAGTTTAATACGGGACACGGAGGGTCAAAGCGAACGATGCGTCTACTCAGAGCCCTAATTAACTTTCCTGGGTCACCACTTTTGATAACAATAAAGCCAATTAATGCACTGGGAAACGTACTTCAAACGGAAGCTTGAGTTTCTGGAAAACAATATCGAATTATACAGGTTTCCTTTCCGTGCTAACTTTGCTTGAGCTTTTAGCTTCGGTCCATACAGGACCACCGTATTTACAAACCGCCGGCAATTAACCGCTTTTATTTATCCAATGTCAGTTCCTCCAATTGACGCTGTGAAGCCATTCTTAATGCATTTCAAATTTCCTCTTTCAGAATATCAATCTACCAGCGTTTCAAAGTTTAATTAAAATGG